CATCTATAATTTATGATCAAATAACCCGTTTGAATACATCATAAATACAGTTCATACAATATATTAATATATTAATGTTGGCATATAAGATGTAGAAGGAATTTGTGTGTAAACTAAAGCAGATTTCGAGTGAACTTTTAAGGAGATGCACACAACTGTTTTGGGACAGCAGGAAAATATCAATTTTGTAAATGTAGTAATTATTTAGCCATTTTTGCACATTATTTCTTCGTTTCAGCTTAATTGTAACTCTTATAAATGTCTGGAATAATAAAGGAATAGGCTTTTTTAAAACAAAAAAAAAGAGTTCTGTTTCAAAGAGTTATATGAATAAATAAATAAGTTAAGATAAGTTGGATGTCCAAAAGTAACCTTGACTTCTTGGTATTCCAAACTTTAATGGATTAACGATGAATTCAAAACTCCTTTTCAGCACTTTGATGCTGAAATGTGAAGTTTAAAATGATTGATGCCTTTCACTTGTATCCACAGAGGGTTTATTGCATGTCAGCAGAACTCTTCAGCCAAGAATAAGCATTGAGAAATAAATCGCATCAATCACATTTGGCAGAAACGTGCAGCTGTTTTCTCTTCTCTCTGGTTTGATACTTTTATATTTGGCGGGTACCTCTAATCAGTCAAGTCACAGCTACAGTGCTTCTTGTACCTGACCCTTGGATTGTCCAACAGCATTTCAGCACCTTCAAGCCTAGTTAAATTAGCAGCTGGAGCCAGAATCCAGTGCTCACAGGCACAGAAAAGAGCAGCAACGATCCATAAATTCTGACTTGGAGGTGCCACATTTTGCAGCCTTTACTCACTGAGCCTATTGAGCTGAAGGAACGCTGCTATGTGCTAACAAACTGAGGCAGGACCTCTAAGTTTATAGAGCACTCACAGAAAGCTGAGCCCTTCATAAAAGTCCCATTCAAAATTAAATCTAAATAAATGATTAAAATACTTCTAAATCTTATCATACGCAAGCAGCTCTAAATGTAGATGTCCAAACACCACCATGAAAACCCTAGGATTGAATACTTCATTCTGGGGAAAGAAGTGTGCATTCCTCCACCAAAAAAAAGAAAGTCAATATATGCATATTTTAAGTATTCATGTAGCCCCCTCTCTGTATTTGGTTTCTTTTCATTTAGCAGGAGCACAAGGGAAATAATTTGAAATGAGAGAAACACCCCTAAACAGAAACACTGCAACTGAATTGTCAGGCACTCAAACCCCTGCATCAGAGGGCTACACTTAATCCATAAGCTTCCCTGGCACTGGGCAAAGTACATACTACCAACTTTAATAATATTGAGAAGGTACTGGAGCCAGACTTAAGTCTTCAAATAGCCACTGCAATCCTCATTTCCAGTTTTTTTGGTGAGTTCTAATTGCAGTAGTCACAGTTTTGCAAAGATTAAAAAAAGGGGGAAAAAGTCTAGCAGGGAAAAGAAATCTGATGATAAGAGGTCACTTGAGACACATTCCAGTGCCAGATGTGAACTGCTGCCAGTTATGACTTGATGTAAAACCCTGATCTAGCTCTTTAGATTAGTGCAGGAGCGGATCTAAAGAGCTTTATTTGTTTCATCAAAGACTTACCCCTTAGCAGGGCATTTACCTAAATAAAACTCTGGCTGAGGTAGAGCATGAAATGCTGACTAAAAGATGTAACACATGAATTACCCCTTAAATATTTATTATTCAGCTGATAAAAATTGCACTTTTCGGGGCACTTCTGTGGAAGTAATGGGGGTGAGAGGAAGGTCGAGGCAGTGTTTTATGATCTGTTAGCAGCCTCTGCTGGCGTTGGATGTGTCAGTACACGTTAATCTCACTAACAAGAGATCTCTATCATGTTTGTTTCAGTATTTCTGTTTTAGAATGCAAAGAAGAGTAAATTGGCGTGTTTGGCATATTGTGACAGATATTAAACGTATATAAAATTGTTATTCCAATACTAATTAGACCCTAAATAATGTCAGAAGTACTCTGACATTAATTTAATATCTTAATTTAAATAGAAAAGATTTTTGGGGGTTGTTGGCTCATCTCTAAAGTAAATTTTCCATCTCTCATTGCACATGACAAAATATAAAGAAATACTCATTTAAAATGTTTACAGCACGAAATAGAAATTAAAACTCGTTTATGTGGTAAGAGGAATTCATTATTGCTGACACATTACAAGGCATCACCAGAAATACAGACAGATTATTAGAAGCATTCTGTCA